TATCTCACGTGCCAGTTCTTTTGATATTCTGGGATGCAGATTATCCAGTCCTCCCAATTTGAGCACATTAGGAACTTTAAGTTGTTTTCTTATACACAGCTTTGCATTGTTGTGTGAGATGAACACATTTCCAGGGATCATATTAAGAATCCAAAACTCATTTGTGACCTAGGTCAGGTTTGAACTGAGGTGAAATGTTAGTGCAATTACAGATTTACTAATCTGCTTTAAAAAGAAATGTAAATGCACAACTTCCATCTCAGATGTGGTAATTTCCATGGTAATTTTATGAATGTGGAGTGAGTGGTTTATTTTGTAAGCAATAAAGAGTATTTGTGGATATATACCAACACTGTGTCCAGTATCTGCCTGCTCCCATATCTTGTAGGGAGACTCCTGCTGCAGGTCTAACAGACTGAGGCAGCTCCATCCCTTTATACCCTCAGCTAGCAACATGAGCATATGGAGGGCACATGTCCCATCTCACTGGGGGAAAACATCTCTGGGTTCAGGACACTGGCACGCACACACCTGAACTGGAGTGGACATGTGCAACACATCTCAAAGAACAACAGTTACCGAACGGGTTTCTAACAGCTTTTTCTCTGCCTGTGACATACACAATATTTTAATCTCCTGAGGCCTTTAATACTTTGGTCTAATTCTGGTTGCTGGGCTTGGTGTGGGGATGGCAAGTGGTGTTAGTGTCCTGTACTATACAGGAGGTCAGACCTTTGTCAGGGTTCCCCCCCACACTCTGAACTCTGAAACCCTCTTTGTTGCCTAGCAAACTGTGAATCTGCCCTGGGGTTTCCCCTTCCTCCCAGGGCTAGCATGTCTCTCCCTGAGTTACAAGCACACAGAACCTTGGGAACCTAGTTAAGTTCCTTGGGGATTACATTCACATTATTTTCCAGTCCTGGAGAAGAAAGGGGGCTGGCATCCATTCCTGGACTTAGATGGCTCGGTGCCTTCACCCACCATTTCAAGTTCAGGATGGTATCCCTAGCCTCTCCTCATGACTGGTTTTCAGCTCTCAACCTGCAAAGCACATATTTTCACAGTTCACCGAGATTCCAAGTGGGAAATTTTCACTATCAGTACAGAGTCCTGCCCTTCCGTCTAGCAACCACTGCAAGTGTTTTCACCAAGTGCTTGGCAGTAATGGCTGCTCACCTGAGAAATCAGGGGATCCAGGTATTCCCTGTGGTGCTGGAACACATTTTATAGTGGGGGTGCTGAAAGCCAGCTAAGAAAACTGTGAACCCTTTGTGTACAAAAGCAATGTGAAAAAAGTGCAATTACCGCTCACACCACACGGGTGCAGCACAGCTCTGGGATTCTCAAGAATGGCAAAATGATGCTAATTTCTTTCTGACAGCACCAGCAAACTTTTTGCAGTAAAATTTGGGGGTGCTGCAGCACTCCCCACACTCCTAGTTCTCACGCCTATGGGTATTCCTGTACACTAATGATTGGTTCATTCAAGGAAGATCAGCAAAGCAGGTAAATGACTCCATCCATCAGATCTTGCAACTTTTCATCACATTAGGCTTCAGAATCAACAGCTGCCAGCTTACCCTCAAACACAGGAGAAAAGTCTGTTTCAGACTTCTTGGACATATGGCCCCAGCACGCTCGCCTTTACCTGTTCTGCATGCAGGGATTGTTAAATTGGGAAATTGTTATATCTACTCAACAGACATTACATTGACACAAGGGTGCAGGTCTGCCGAGAAATCCTCTCTCATTATTAACTTAGTGGAAGGATCTTCTCTGGGTATACAAAGGAGTACCATTTTCTTCACCTCTACCTACCAAGAAACTGGTGATGGATGCTCCCACACTTGGGTGGGGAACTCAGCTGGACCACATTCAAACCCAAACCTATGACAACATGAAACAACTTTTGCGGTGCATAAATTATGACCAACATCAGTGGCAGCTTTGTGGCGATTTGAAGGTTGTTGCTCTCTTGCTTGGTCTGCAGACTGGGTACACAAAGTACTGCTGTTTTCTCTGCGAATGGGATAGTCGTGCAAGAGATTCCCACTACATCAAGAAAGATTGGCCACTCCGAC